GGGTTTCATACTGTATTTATGAACGTATGCCTGCATTGTAGAGAATATTTAGTATTCTCTACAATGCAGGCATACATTCTCCATGGCCTAAACGGCTACCACATGATTTACTTCTGTCCTAATTACATAATTACTTTAGTAACAGGGACAGATACTCTTGAGTTTCCTACACCTTTTCCTAATTACCTGATTGCAGGCAAGACTCCAATGGCTAAATAATATCCATCTGAGTTTTTTCTCGTTACTGTCTCTACACCACATTTTACAGGATTTAGTGAAGTTCACTGCAATTTGTACTGATGTAAATGAGGCCAGAATTTGGACCAGTTTAATTTTTAAAACTGTTTATTTTGTGTGAAAAACATGGCACGTGCTACAAAGTTGTCTTTAAAAGCTTAGAATGCCACTGAAAGAACAACAACAAAAAAGGTTTGCATCTGCACAGAATTTTATCATCATCGAGACGACCATTAATTTTTAGCAGATTTATTTTCCTCATTACTCCCTTCCTCTTCAGTTAAAACCTTTTATTGAAAGACCTTAACAAAGATCTAAAAAATGATCATTTCTCTTGGAACACATGCCTTTGTTAATGTATCAGAAACCTGCAGTACTAACAAAGGGAGTGTAAGTAGTCTTTTTGATGTAATAATATGGTCCTTTTACTATTTTCTTACAGCATTTTTAAGCACCACAGACTTCCCTTTCATGGAGGGGATGTGTTTACACAAGATGAAAGTAGTCACCTTTTGGATGCCTTAAAAAGCCTCTGACCTCATGGAAGTTGCCTTAGCTCATGCTGGATCAAAACTGAAAAAAAAAAAAACCTAAATAAATACCCACAGAAGACAGTGGTATGAGAAAAGGCCCAACCACTAATCTCTGCACATGTAGGTTAACATAAAAGCATAGTGATTGGTTAAAGGATTTACTTACTATTCAAAGTCTGCTGTAGAAGTATATAAGGCTAGTTAAACATTGTTATTACAATAAGAAAGTTCACTGGATAAGCAATGTCCCTCACTGAAGCAAAAGACAGGTTCACTGTGGGAAATACTGTGTTGTATGGAATGGAGCTGACAGTTAAACTTTATTTCAGACAGACATTTTTGAGCCCTCAGCTGGCAGGGTTTTATGCTGCAGAGCAATGACCTTATTTGTAACATCAGTATTTTGGGAAGGCTAGGCTGATAGTAAATTGTCGTCTTTTTCATTACAAAAATAATAAAACTGTATGCCTTCTGTCAGTTTAGCAATTATAAATTTAATGATTAACAGTGAAGTACAACTTTTTAAACATGCACACCCCAAAGTCGTCTTCTGATGCCATTTATCCAAAAATAAGCAAGATTAAAAAAAATACCATCGTTAACACCTTGCACTGATTTTACACTGCTTGGATCTCAAACAAAGGGAGTTCTTTGCAGCTGTCATTCATTTGTTATAAGTATGCCAAAAGATCTGAAAATAATCACAGGCTTTGCATATACTTTATGGCTTCTTACTATGTACTCTTTCATGTTATTGTACTTGGCTAGGCAGGCTTCATCTGTGCTAGCACCTTCTAGCCTCTGAGTTTACTACACAGCAGATTTATTGAGTTTAGCAGAAGATGAGATCCAGCCATTTCAATAGATGAATGAATAGATAACTGTAAGGAATGCAGCATTTTAGTGAGTGACTTACAGCTCTTCCCAGTTTCCAGCCTCCCTCTCTTATCTCTTGTTCTGGTGCTACTCCTCTCTTTCAGATCTGCCTTAACCTACATCCATTCCAGGTGCTGCTAGTGGCTATTCAGCTTGATACCATGAACTGTGGGCTTCATTTCTGGGTACCAATATAAGTAATGGCTCAGACATAATTGTCCCCACCCTCTACTTGGCACCTTCCTCAGAAGGTCATCTACTTTGGTACCTTTCTCACCCATCCTGATAAACAGCATTGGGTTCACCATCTTATAGCTCCCACTCGATATCAATTACAGAAACCTTTCATTAATCACAAATAGTCAGAATTATTTTTTTTTTTGACTTCACAAATCAAGGTAACTATACTTTCTCCAATTTAAGCCTGAAGCCAGATTAGTAATGCTTTGCAAAGTCTCAAAAGGATTGGAAACATACTGAATTATATTAGTGAAAGGCCGTGAAATCCTATAATCTAGGAAATGTTTATGCATAAGAGGTGTTGATTGACAGCCGGCTGAATATGAGCCAGCAGTGTGCCCAGGGGGCCAAGAAGGCCAATGGCATCCTGGCTTGTGTCAGCAATAGCGTGGCCAGCAGGGACAGGGAAGGGATCTGACCCCTGTACTGGGCACTGGTGAGGCCGCCCCTCGATTCCTGTGTTCAGTTTTGGACCCCTCACTCCAAAAAGGACATTGAATGACTCGAGCGTGTCCAGAGAAGGGCAACGGAGCTGGTGCAGGGTCTGGAGCACAGGTCGTACGGGGAGCGGCTGAGGGAACTGGGGGAGTTTAGTCTGGAGGAGGCTGAGGGGAGACCTTATCACCCTCTAGAACTACCTGAAAGGAGGGTGCAGAGACCTGGGGATGAGCCTCTTTAGCCTAGTAGAAAGCGACAAGACAAGAGGTAATGGCCTCAAGTTGCACCAGGGAAAGTTTAGACTAGATATTATGAAGCATTTCTTTCCAGAAGGGGTTGTTGGGCGTTGGAATGGGCTGCCCAGGGAGGTGGTGGAGTCCCCATCCCTGGAGGTGCTCAAGAGTCGGGTCGATTTGGAGCTTAAGGATATGCTGTAGGTGGGAACTGTGCTAGGCGAACAGTTGGACTAGATGATCTCCAGGGTCCTTTCCAAACCAGATGATTCTGTGTAATTTGATTTTATAGACAAAAAGAGTGTGCGTTAGTAATGTGTAGTATAATAATAATAAAAATAACCTTTTTTTTTTAATGAAATGACAAAATATTTGCATTAGAAAACCTCTCATTTTCACCTTATGGACAGTGGAAGTCAGAAGTATCTCATCTGAAATTAACTTCCTTCTGAAAGCCTTCCAGTTTTAGTGTGCTGTGAAATTACATGGTTAATTTATGACTCAGAAGAGTAGAAGCACGGAAGTACAAGGGTAAGGGCAGAGTTCAGAAGAAGGACAGTATAGTCACTGCCAGTACAGAGCTTGAATAACTGCAGTGGGGAATCTACAGAAATACTATCCCACTGAATTATTTTTTTAAAGAAATGCTCACTTTCTCTTCATACTGACTTGTATGCAGGTCTCTTTAAATTCTCTTGTTTTCCTTGGGCTCTGAAAAACAGATCCAAGTTACCAGAGAAGAAATCTATGTTGAGTATGTAAGAGTAAGTCCAAAGCAACCACCCAATTTCATTTTTCCCCATATGTCAGTTAGAGCCTGCATTAGAAACTGGAATCAGTACTAAGCAAAGATCTGAATTCCACTTTCATTTTTATAAGGAGTTCTGCTGTTTGCTGGGCAGATTGGTTTCCTGGGAGGCTCTCACCAGCATGCAGAATTGAACTCCAAAAGGACTGGCAGTAACAAAAGCATCATGCTTAAACAGCTGTGCTCTTCTCTCACATTCATTTTACATTAAAAAAAAAAAAAATCTAAACCAACATCCTGTATCGGGAAATCATGTTTACTGGCTAATTATCCTCTATGTAGAATGTTACAAAAGCACCAGTAGCTTGGACTTTAATTGACTGTCCTTAAAGGGACTGTTTTTGATTTTGTAAGAAATCATGTTTTAATCTTCTAATTCATGGAATTATGTCCAGAAACTTGAAATCAAATTTTACAACAGATTATTTCTGTACTAAAAAAGCATCATCTGAAATTTAGAATAATTCATAGACAGAACTTTAGAAATAAAACTAGATGTGTAATATGGCTTGGTCTATCTATTACATGGATTTCATTTTCTTCCACTTAAATCCAAAAGGAGACAAGCCAACAAAGGAAGTAAATGGAGTTAATCTGTTGATGTCTTTATTTAATAAATCATCGTAGTTTTTTTCTAATTCAGGTAAATCCTCCTTTTTACTATCTGTGCACTGGTTTACTTATGTGGGCAGCCTTAATTTATGAAGCCTCTTGGCTGGTGGTCTTAATACACGGTCGATTTGAAAGCCAGGACTTGGGCCATATGCCAAGACTAGAAAGAACTACTTAACAGAAGGCCTTTAGTGTTGATAGGGCATATGGATTTGCTTCTTTGTTCCATCACAGATGTCCTGCAGGACCTGTAAATGAGTTTTTACCTTTTGCTTGGCTTCTTTACCTGTAAACCACGATTCTTCCCTACCTTCCAAGTTGCTTCATAGGGAAAATAATTTTAAATGGTGAGATAACAGCATATTTTGTCAAGAAAGACAGTCTAACCACCAGCTGAAGAACAAAAAAATGTCTCAGTGTTGGTTTAGTGTGGTCTTAGTAAAAGCCTACCTTTAAAAACATATTGAGTAACGAACTTGAGTTTGGCAGGAACACAACCTTTGTATGCTCTTTTTCAGCTGATGAAAATTAATCTGGTCAGATTCAGAGAGATACAAAATGCAAAAAGGTCACTGTAGCCAACCTCTAGATATGGTAAGGAGGTTATCTTCTGGAAATTTTATCAGAGCTAGCAGGAAGGGTATTTTCTACACACACAAGCAGGTGAACTTCAGAGAGAGCTGTTGTGTGGTCTGGCTTATGACTGCATAAGTGTAAACTGTTATTGTCTTTCTGGGGGATGATTGTTCCAATTTATGGATTCAATTTTGGACCAACTAAACCCCTCTTCATAAGAGCATCCAGGAGTCATGCCACTTATTTTTTTTTGGATATTTCAGGTTCATGCTCAGATATTTGTAATATGAATAAATTAGGAAAAAACAGGCTTAAATATCCAAAGGTCAACCAAATGAATACCTCTAATGATCACTTATTATAATATCTTCTATAAATATTTCTAGAAATAGAATCCAGTGACAGACTCCTAAAAATTATCTAATTACTCCATTTTGAATACACTAGGTTGTTGGTGTGGCTCAAGCAATCAATAAGAAATCTGGAATTGGTGGCACTTTCACTGAACAAGATGAGAAGGTATAAAAGCTGGACATTTATGTCTCTTCTGTTTTCATAGGGGAATGGGGGATGGATATGTTATTACTTTTGAGGCTGTTCAGAAAAGTTAAAGTTCTTAAAAATTAAACACCTCTGAAAAAGTATAAATTCCTGGTAATACTGCAAATTTCTTTCTTTATGAGGCCATGAGAAATATGCGTGTGAGATAGTTTAATTTCTGGATCAGCATGGTATCTCTTATACATCTCTGAAACACAGGTTTACTCTACTGAAATGCATTGTAAAACAGTCTATCATACCTTCTGATAGACAATAACTTTTTATTAATCGGTTCTAACTCTCTTGGCATCCCCAGCAAACATATTTTGAATATTAGAATTTGTATAGTGTGGGGTTTTTTTTAAATACTGTATCACTTCTCAATATAGAAATTGCAGGATGAAAAAAAAAGCTTTGGATAAATTATGACCAATATATGAGATAATTATTAGACAGCACCTTGATTCCTAATTCTCACACTGCAGTTGCTTTCCAAACATTTCCAGACTTCCCATTCAGATTGGTGTAGCAAAAACCAGGCTGTACTCAGGCTGAACAAGTTGACTTAATCCTCAGCAATAAAAAAATCAGAATTCACCCTTTCCCTCTGAAAACTTTCCCTTTAAAACAAAATGCATACTGCGTAACTGCAGGATATCAGAATTAATCTCATTCCAAAAGAGAAAAAAATTGTGGGATTGCTTTGTTAGCAGAATTTTATTTCTACCTTGTAAGGGATTAAATTCCGCAAAATAAGAGGCTGATAGTCTGCACTCAGTTTTTCTAGATAAAATGCATTGCTGCAAAATTAGTTGATTCCTTTGAGATGCTTCTTAGATCAATCCTACTTTTTTAAACTGTGAAGATCATTAGTTTAAAAAAGGGAGACGAGATTCTTGAGGAAATAACAAATTATGAGTAACTGGAAAAAAACCCTCTGAATTTTTGATTGCCAAAAATGACTGAAAAAATATCAATTAATACAGAGTGAAAACAAAATTTGCAGTAGCTTATCTTTGAATAGATTTAAGATGCTGTGAGACATATCTTCATGAGGTGCTGATGTTAATTTGTCTTCAGGATTTTGCTGCGTATTTGGCATTTTGTGGAATTGTTCTTCACAACGCTCAGTTGTATGAGACATCTTTGCTTGAGAACAGGCGTAATCAGGTATGGTCAACAGGTTTGTCCCAAGAATAAAGAAATTACGATGGTTAGCTAGTAATCAGTGCCTGCTCTTGATATTTCTTATATGGTAGTTATTGCTTGGCTATTTTTAATTACTCTAATTGATTGCTGTATATCTCTGGTAAAGCTCTAACTGCATTGAGAAGTAGCTGGGTACATTTCCAGCTTGGACTGTGAGAAGTGGACTGTCTAGGGGAAGAAGGTAAAGCTACATATCAGAAAATTAATTCCATGTCAATATATGTGATACTCCCTGACATTATCCTGTGGCTCACTGTATATACTATACAACCAGAGGTGTACATACTCCAGAAACTTCAGATAGAATTATCCCTACGGAATGGTGGAGGTTATACAGATTGCTCTTTTAGTCTACTACAAATAGTCACTAACCATATTTTCAGTAATGAGATGGAAAACTGAATTTCCTTCTGATTAATGTAACTGTGTTTTCCAGCCATCTTTATAAATAATGAGTTATTAATGCCATGGCCTTTATGGGTGAATGTGTCTGCCATATACAGTATGAAAAGGTTTTGAAGAAACAACTAGGCAGCAGCTGTTGTAAAAATTTTCTGGTAGGTCTGAGTTTCCAAGTGACTATCAGTGTTCATAATTGGTACAAATTTGGATAGTCGTTTCAGATTGGCTCCATGCTTCTTGTGAGGAAAAAACAATATAATATGAGCACATCTGAGCAGATAAGTCCTTCAGCAGCAGCTTTGAAATACAGCAGCTCGCATCTAAATGACACTTTCACCAAATGCGCTCATTAGGATCTGTTTAGAATTACAACAGATAATAACTGTGTTTGAAAGTCTTAAGAAATGTAAATATCTCTGTTCTTAGAATGTACAGATGAGCCATAGGAAACTATTAGGTTTTCTAAGGGCAAAAACTGTGCTGTCTGGATTTCTCAGGTTTCATTTGATGGACTGTTAATGCCAAATCTAATCTGTCTCTCTGACCAAAAACATCAGACAGCTAACTATGCGATTTATTTCTTTCATCAAAAGTGTCAAACTGGCTATTATTTATTGTTACCTTGTATGAGAGCCAAAACTTCATTTTGGTCACAGACATATGTGTTGGATTCCTTGATTCAGGGAAGAGGAGAAGAATCAAAGACAGTACTAATGATAATTATTGCTTAAATCACGGTTAGTCAGAATTTCACAAAAGACCTTTTCCCCAGGTGCTTCTTGATCTTGCCAGTCTGATTTTTGAAGAGCAGCAGTCTTTGGAAGTAATTCTGAAGAAGATAGCTGCCACTATAATATCCTTCATGCAAGTGCAGAGGTGTACCATCTTCATAGTGGATGAAGACTGTACTGTGAGTATGTTTTTTGTCTAAAGGGAGAAATGCTTATTCCCTGTGAGCAGTGTGGGCTTCCCTCCATTCTGACTCAATAGTATTTCAAACCCATAGCATGTTCTGTCGCATTTTCATCTACTCAGGTTAAGTGTTGACTTGGGAGGCTTCAATCTTTGTCTAGGCCAGACTGTCATTTTATGCAGCCATTTTACATTACACGTTGGTGAACTACGGCTCTAAGCTCTCACCTAGGGCATAGATCTTGAATGCTGAACTCTTTCATAATTCATTTTCTTGACTACTGATGTAGGACGGAAAAAAGGAAAAAAGGCTGGGAAAAAAAAACAATGTGGCCTTTGCTTCCTGTACGGAATCATTTTTGGCATCACCTTTTATTTCTTGAGTGTACCTAAGCAGGGAATATCTAAACAAGGTATCTAAACAGAATCATGGCCTGTCCCAAGATTCTGGCTCACTGGAGCAGAGCACAACTCCTTCCCAATCTGCCCACCTGTATTTACTTTATATTGAAAATAGGCTGCAGAACAAGGAACAAGATATTACGTTGTATGCCTCAGTCTTGTACTAGCATTGCTAGTTTTATTTTACTATTCATTATAGGTACAGCTGTGCTAAGATCTGGAAGTGAGGAAGCATTTCCAGGTTCTCTAGCACAAAAATAACACACAGCATTTGTGATCATCTGCCACAATCCCATCTCTCACTGTATTTAGAAGAGTCACTTCTGCAGATGAGAATACAGAAAAGGAATTTACCTGATTTTGGTATTCACATATTCAGTGTCCTTTCAAGTTAAAAGTCCAGCACCTACTTTGCAGTCTGTACCTTGAATCTTTAGTACAGAGAGAATCTGATTTCTCTCTACATTTAAGGTTCTCAACTGTTAAAAAAAAGCTGTGTGAAAAGCAACACAATGATCAGTCAATATTAAGTCATCATCGGAAGATTTTGATGTCCTCACCTGTAGAAGCAAAGCAGGTCTAGAATTGGATGAATGTTAAAATAAAGAAGTTCTGTGCTGATGGATAAATTTGGCACAGCTTGTAAATATTTTTATTCCTTCTCAGAGTGATCAACAGAAATTCAAGACACTTGACTGACATTTTAAATTTGTATCAAAAGATATTTTTGTGTGCTTGCTGCTAGATGTGAAATGAAGCTAAATAATTTTAGACTTGTCTTTATTACAGAATGGGTTTTGATAACTGCAACAAGCTTTTCATGAATACTCCTGTTCTAACTTAAGACAACCTTATACATCTATATATTAAAATACCCTCTCGGTATTTCAGGATTCATTTTCTAGTGTGTTTCATATGGAATCTGAGGAATTAGAAGATTCGGCTAAAAATGTGAAGAGGTAAGACAGTGAATTCCAACTTTTGTTCAACCCAGGAGAATGCTGAAGAAACTATGCTTTTAATATATTTTTTTTTTCTTAATAACAGACCTATTTCCACAGGGTGCCATGTATTACTCCTATTTTTATAGAGCAGATATTGCCCTGGAATGTATACAGACAAACTCTGTAGCCTTAAAAAGGTCACACGGAGCAGAATCTGAGAGTAGGATCTGATCTCTTCACTCTGTCAGGTCTAAGTACATAGTTGTATCGCAAGGCTAAGCTATGGAAATGTGCAAACTGTGTGGAGTAAAAATCTAAGCTGGTGAGCTGCTCTAAAACTGATCAGTAAGAAATCTGCATAGGTGACTGTTGTAGAGTAGACATACCCACATTAGTAGATACTAATCCTATTTATGATTTTAATCATTACTTCTATTTTATAGGTAGGGAAGCTGACTCAAAGAACGTGACTGACTAAATCAAGAATAAAGTCCTGAAGTTCTAACTTTCAGTCATCTCTGAGAAACCATTAAGAAGTTCAACTGAGAGGAAGGGAAAGATGTAGAAATAATTGAATTAAAATACCAGATTAAATAGTTTCCAAATTTAGTCTGAACCTCAGTACTGGTTTGAAAATTACTGTCTCCATTACCTTTCACTGTCATCAGAAAGTTGATTCAAATAATGCCAAAGGAGTGAGACACAACTGTATATAAAATGCACTACTACAGATAGAGTGTCGAGAGAAAATGGAGATTTCTGTAATCTTTTTTTGCAGTGAACATTTATTATATTTAGTTCCATATATTAGAAAATTATGTCCAAAGTATGTGGCTTGAGCAACTGAAAACTGTTAAGCTGTATTACGACTTCAGACAATGTACAACCAGAAAGTACAGAGGTACAACAGGCTAGTAAGACCACAGGGTGAAAAAGAAAGTTCCTGTTTACTTCCTCTTCTATGCTATTGGAATGGTAAAGAAAATTTACCCTTCCTATTCATTATCACTTTCATGGTTACTTGTTAATGGACTCCAAATGGCATGGGCCATCAGTAAATTATTTCTCATAACCGATAGGGAAGGAATCTTGGAGGCTTAATTGCATATCTGAATCTTGTTCATGAGACAGCACAATTCGATGCCAAGGACTGTACTATGAGTCAACCATTGGAGTTAGAACTTCTATGCTTGAAGGGCATAATTTTGATTTTGGGCAATAGCAGAAATATAATGACATGGATTATATGGGAAATATTACTTTACATAATACAATTTCAGGTTTATTATGTACTCAAGGACCCTGAATCAAACTCAAGACAGGTTTTCAGAATTGTGGTGCATTGCCTTGTATAACCAAGTTTGTGAAATAATGAAAGAATTCATTCCCTTACTCCAGCACTGTGAACATCCTTACACCAGAATGATCACTAAAGTCAAGTCAAATGTCAGAGGGAAACTACAGGAGCTTGATGGGAATAGTTTTATTATTAGGACATACGTCCTCCTCCAAAGCAGGCAAAGGGTCCAAGAGAACTGAAATGCCTTAATTTAATATATCATGGCTAAAAAAGTAGGAGAGGATTGATTCTCTGAAGATACTTTCTGTCCTGATTTGGAATAAACAGTTCTATTTCAGTAACAGAAACCCCATGCAACTGATTGTGCCTTTAGTTTTGGAACAAATTTGAAATGAACTTAGAAGCAGAAAATTCACAAATGTTAACTGCTGCATGCACTCTGTTTAAAGAATATGTGAATTTTATCCATCATTGATTTTTCAAGGGTGTCAGATTTGTGAATGAAGTTTGTTTTCAAAAAGTGCTGTTTATTTCAGCATAAACCCAGTTGTTCATTCTTTATCCTTCATCCGCATAAACTGTACTGAAGTTCGATGTTCAGTGTTAATGTTGTTGAATATTAAAGAAATGGTGGAACATATAAATCAATCTACTCTGCAGATGACAGCTGGATTAGGATACAAGATTTGAACTCAACTCCATTATGTATCTATTGGTTATAACCTTTCCTCACACAGGAAAGATATTACAATTACCTGCTTTGCATAATGAAATAATCCATTTTCATACTAAGCACGAAATAATAATGTTGTATCCTTCAGGGACTATGATACAAACAAAATCAATTATATGTATGCTCAGTATGTCAAGAATACGATGGAGCCTCTTAACATCCCAGATGTCTGCAAAGACAGAAGATTTCCCTGGACAGTAAGTAAAATAAGCTTAGATTTTAAATTCAGAAATGGAAAATGTTTTTCTGTTTACCTTTCAAACCTTTTTTGTTTTCTCCTTATTATTTCTATAAATCTAACAGCCATAGTTAGAATTATGCAAACACAAAGGAATGTACATTTGCTTGATAAAATTCATTATCAGTGAAGGAAAGGTACAATACTCACGCAGTGAGATGGGTGGCCAGGGGAGGGATTTATACCTACAGCCACTACTAAAAAAGTGTAACATTAATTTATCAATAAAGGGACGGTGTAATGTGGAAAGCTTGCAATGTGTTCTATGAAAAACATTTAAGTGAAGAACAGTTGGAGGTTTTCATAGTAATTCTTGGTAGTTTACTGTGAGTGTTAGGAGGCTTGAAGTAGTTCCTTCTCTTTTATCCTTTCCTTTCCCTTCTTGTTCTGGCTTAATGGTTATAGCTGCAAGTAATGTTATAGCTGCAAGTTCTTTGCTGTTTTGGAGGAGGAACAACTTTGCTTTTCTTTGGGAGCTTTTGCTTCACACTTCAAGTGTGAGCTTGTGGTATGGTGTATTACTGAACACACAAATACTGGAGAGCTAGGGGGGAAGGTCATTTGGAAAGACTCAGATTACAGTCAAGGTGCCTTCAAAGTTGTCATCAACAAAGAGTACGCTTGTAATTCTGTATTTTCCTGTCAATGCAGAAATTAGAAAGATGTCTGCTCTTATGTATATTTAAGCCTGTTGGCTAGAGGGACTCAGGGAGAGGGTAATAAGAGGGAGAGGAGTTACTGTGATCACCAGATAGCTCTTTACCAAACTCTTTGTTCTGAGATTTAGAACGGAAAGGTCAGCAAATAGTCTTCAATGTAATTGTTCCAGTAAGTGGAAAGAAGGGGCAAGCTCATGGTGGAGAGCTGTGTTGCTTTCTTTTTTCTCACTGCAAGGGTTTCATGGATATTCTGGAGTGAATTTCTGTGAAGGATTGAGCAACATAGGAATTGGAGGCTCCAGTACAGGGGCCAAAACTATCTTAAATGCAGGAGTGGAAGTAAAACCAAAATCAGACAGATATACTGTATTAGATCAATAAAGAAAGAGGTGATTATTTTGAAGACATTTTAAGAGTCAGTGAGACAGCTCTTTGTCTGAATCTGGCCTTTCACATTGTCAGCAAGGTTTGAGTTCTTTTGCATTTTTCCCTGGAATCTAGATGACTTACATCTTATGTATGTAAAAGAAACTCATAAAAAGAAAAATAATAGTATTGCTAGAGGGAATTTTGGATAATGTTTTTCAACACACAGTGGCTGCATCTCTGTCATTGTATAATAGCAGTCTCAAGGCAGGGCTGTAGGATAAATGTTTTAAAATCTGATGAACCCTGACATGAAGGAAATCCGAGGTGTACCTAGTGCTGTAGAAACCTTGGCTTGCCTCTTTCTTTGGAGGATGTTCAACAGCATGCCTGCTCACCTTATGAAAATAACTTTGTGCTTTCTAAGTCTTTTGGTGGCCTCAAATACCTAGGTAGTGACATGAGGCAGAGATAAGCTTGGGTTTATTTGTGGAAGGGCTGTGATGTTGCCTGTCTGAGGTTCATGCCACTTACAAGAAGTACAGAAACCAAATACTAAGCAGTGATGTGTACATGCTCTTCCCTGAACCAACAAAGTTAGTGCAATGGAGACAAAGTTCAAATATCTACAACTCCTGAAAGGCATTTAAGTCTCTTTTTGCTTAATCTCCTTCCTGTTCATTAATACTGGGTCAGGCATTTTTATTAAGCACCATGCACTGTGGTCTTATCTCCAAACCAGTCCAGTTTGACTTTCAATGGATCTGAACTTTACCATGAAACAGCAGGCTGTTCTGAGGGTAGCCATAAACCAATTTTCATGCAAGCTTGACTTTGTGTGTCTTAGCTGCCCTTGCTGGAGAGGTCTAGGGAGAGATGCTGATTCTTGTATCCTTTTTTACAGCTGATTTCACAGGTATGTCACAGTTCAGAAAAGAGCAAACCCTACTCTTGAGTTATTCCATATACCCTCTTGATAATGGGCTACTATTAAGTAGTAGTACTTAACTTCCTGGAGTCACATAAAGTATCTGGCATGATGTAATCCCTTAATGTTTTCTTTAAAGAATCACATTTCCTATTGTCACTTGTTAGCATTATAGCGTTCTTGCATTTGCCTGCAAAGAAACTGTCTACAATCCTTGCAGAACACCAGAGAGTAGAGCAACAATAGTAAAAAACAAAAAAACCCTTTTCATCTGCAATATTAATGTGTACCCATTTTTTTGTGTCACAAACAATTAGAGATTGGACCAAATGTACTTCTTAGCAACTGCCACATTATTCCAGGAGCAGTCAGAGCAGAATTACATCCTTTTCTCACCATTTGAAAGAGATGTATTGTCTTTTTTTTCCACCCTTTCACCCTCCTAATAAATTTGGTTTCCTTCTCCTGGAGAATGAGACAGGATAAAATGTCTGGGAGATGGCAGAATGTTGACCTTGGTGGTGGTAGTTTTCCTACCTGTTCTTTGGATCATGATTTGGTCTCCACTAAGCCCCCTTCCAGTGCATTGGTGGATTAATCAAGGCATCTCAAACAAACCAAAAGAGTTTACGGAAGTTTTAGTGCCACAAAATGCACACTCAGCTTAATGTCAGGTAGTTACTTTTGTTTTATGACATCTATTCCTTACATTGCCATATTGCAAGTGAGGGGATATGCTGGTAAGGGGAGACAGGTCAGTTCCTTTTACAGCTCATCACCTGATGAGAGTAAAAAGGTGTCTAATGCCCATCTGGTCTCTTTTCAGTGCACTGAGTGGAACACTTTGTCTTGGTGCAAAGTTGTCATTTTCATGGAAGTGGTACCGTCTAACGAAATAACCTATTATTAAATCAGCACATTTTTAGCACAATTACACAAGTCACCATAAACTACTGAATTGAGATTATCATCATTACTTGTATTATTATTCACCAAAGCCTGTATCACATACAGTGTTTATAACACCATCCAGCCAAAGATGTGCAAACTCTTGGAAGATGTGGTTGCTTTTTGAAGGACTCTGTAACCCAAGAATAGCTGTAGGCCACAGCTCTACAGCTTTTTAACTTCAGTCACTTGAACGTTAGTCTTTAAAATAGTAACTGTATTTTTTTGTTTGTTCAACAGAATGACAATGCAGAAAATGTAAGTCAACACATAAAGAGTTTGCTGTGTACACCAATAAAAAATGGGAAAAAGAATAAAGTGATAGGTAGGTATCTTTTCAAAAAGCATTTTTATACCTTTCATAGAAATATTTCTGTGCTCCACAGTAAAATGTCAGCAACATGGAATCTCAACCCAGGAAAAAGATCCTTAAATATCATGTTTTCAACTAATAAGTCCACTGCAACCTTGACTGTAAATTGCTTACCTAATCAGTTATCAATTATCTACAATAGTGATACTTCACCATTTTTATAGCTTCTTTGCATTCAAAAATTTTTTGTAAGTAGAATTATTTTCCTTGCTTCCTGTTCTGAGAGTCAGTTAACCACTCTTGCCTCTGTAGATCTTTTACATGGCAGTGAAAGGAGGAGAAGATATAAATCAGTAAATAAACTCTTCAGGCCTGAGCTGTCTGTAGTGCTGGGCTTTTAGGGAACAGTGGTGGCATGTGGAAAGGCAAGCTGAACTGCACAGACATTGGCAGTTTCTTCAAATGAGACTCAGCCCTGGAAAGATTCATGCATTAGAAGGCCAGCTGCTGTGCAGTTTTGGTGCTATGGATTGCCCTTTGGAGGTGCCTGCTTCTATCTGTGGATTACGTAGGGAGCCTACAGTCCTATTGTAAAACACCAGGTTAAGATTCTAAAGCTACCCAATGTGAGTATCTCTGCAGCATCTCCTTGGCTTTTTCTAGAACTACTTTTCTTCTATTTTAAAGAGTGGCCATAGTACCACTGCATAACCCAATGTATATAGTAAATGAGAGGGCCCTTTTCCACAAAGACAGATCTTTTTTTTTAACTCTGGAATCGGAAGGAGAAGCATCATCTTTACTTAATTGAGTTATTTGAAATTCCTTTTGATACCAGCTTCTTTAATGAGTTCTTTTATTACTTTGTTTTAAATATGCTACCAGACACTAGAAGACCGAGATGAAGATTGAACTGTTGAGCTTTACGTAGATATGTTTCACTATGCTGTTAGCTACTGATAAAACAGTTGCATCTGATCTCATATAGTTTTTTTCTATCGTTATTTTCTGTGGAAGTTCAAACTGTAAGTTTTGGTCAGGCTACGCTTTTAGGTGGGTTTCTCAAATCTGAGTAATTCTCATTGGGAAATGTTCTTCAAAGTCTTTTAAGGTTTCACAGCCTGCCTAATGTTCAGATCTTTAATAGGGCAAGGTCAAGAAATAGTCTTTGGGAGAATACCCACAAGTTCCTTTAGCATACTATATACTGTGTAAGTCTAGTATTATAAATCTACTTTTTTAAGATTAGTATACCCCAAACCAGAATTTGGGAAGTGGGGTGTGCAAATGGGCATGGGGTGGGAAAAACTGTCCACAGCAAAACCAAGCAAATCTTATGGGCAAGAAAAATGAAAAGAACTCTTTTATTCTCCTGACTTGTGCACTTTTCAGGTATGTGGTGAAAGCTTTGCAGAATCTTTCTGTGGTTTTATAACTATGTCACAGTAAAAGACTTTTGAGTTACTTCTGTTGTAATGTATGGACCCCTCAAAGCTTGGGAAAGCTTTTGAAAGAGGTTACAGTTAGAGAGTCTTAAGTACTACATAGTATATTGACTACAGTTTTCTCATTTTTTTAAGAGACATTTACATGCATCCAAATTCTGTGTCTCTGAAGAATTCATTTGCTTTTGTGGCTTATTCACTGTTGAGTCTTAATCTTGTGTTCATTACATCACAGTTGCTATGGAAATAATTATAATGTCATAAACAGTACTAAACAGAGATCTGAAAGTGAGTTTCATGAGATCTTCCTATAGAGTTTTATAAGGCAGCTTCTTTTTTCCCAGGGAAAGTTAATCTTGTTCTTAGTGAATCCTTATTTGCTGGGATTATATATTATTGCTATCATTCCAAGTATCTACTCATCTCATTCCATTAAGGTTCAGAATCCTGTTTGCAATATACGGATACCACAATCCCTGCTACAACAGTTTACAGCTACAGTTATAATATTCTTACTGATCTCTTTAGAGGAGACTCTGTTACTAAAACAATTTCCCCAAACAGAATGTAAATTTGCCACCAGACATTAAAAAAACTTCTACAGGCAAGGCCAGAGTTCTAAAAAACCAGTTTGCATGTGTGTGCTACTTTCTTTTCCTTGGTTTTTCTACCTACTGTAACAGGGAAGATGCACACTTGCTCCCTCAAAGACTTTTTTTTTTTTCTTTTAATTAAAAACCTCAATGAGCTTGTTTAGTCTGTAAATATGGAGTACTAAAATGCTAGAAATACTTTCATATAAAACATCCTTACCACTGACAAGACCTTACAGTAGCTGATGATTATGTTCAGTGTTGGTACTGTTGTAAAATAATATTAATTACAATTTTTTCCCTACCCATAAACAGAAAGCAAATCCGGCCTCTGACCCTATGGTGGCAAAACGTAAGGCATTCAGATTCTGCTAATATATCCTGTGTAAATTAGAAGTAGCTCTACTGATGCAAGAAAACCTAAAAATTGTTAAGAGTGTTCTGGAAACACGATGCTAAATAGTTATCTTCTCTTTTGCTGCTTAAATACATTTATTTAATATTTAATATTTTACTCTTTCTGCTGCAAAATGTTCTTCAAAAAATACATAAAGTATGCAAACTGGTATGCAATAGCAGTCTATAGAAAAATGGAGACTTTTTCATTATTTTTTTTTTTTCAGATATTTTGATTTGCAGCTGTTTGTTTTCACTGGGATAATTATTTGCAGACCAGAAAAATGATAGCTTTTACCTCATGAACCTGTTACTACTCACTCTCATGACAGCAAGAAAACATTTTGACTCTCTTAAGACAATAATCACCACCAAAGCAGTTTCGGCCAAAGACAACATATACTTACAATACAGCTGCTTTAATATTCTGATTTCTTAGCAGAAACTGCCATCTGCTAGGTAAAACTAAAGTGATGTATATGTGTGAATTTCTCTCTGTTTAAAATGGTGTCAGGGATTTAAGATGCAGCAAGGTTTGACAGAAATTACCTGTCAGACCTTTTAATGTCAGGTGCACAGAAAAGTGCAGAAATTCTTAACAGAAAATAAACAGATGCAGCATCAAGTTTGAACATAACAAGCCGAATTCACAAGATGCTTTTCAGTGAGTGCAGTATTCTTTGGAGCAGGCTGTAACTCAATCGCATCCTCACAGAATCAGTGAGTATATTTAAGCTTTGAGCCTCAACTTGGGTATTCTCTGTTTAGTTGATTTATTTTAAAAAATTTCCAGTACTGACTCAAATAAGGAAGTGAAAACTCTGTGTACCACTATTCTGACTTTCATAAATGTTCTTTTGGCATGGTTACAAAAATTTAATTAGCCTCCAAAGGACAAATTGTCTTTAGGGATTAAATCAATCTAGAATACTATTAATAATAACAGTTAGGATGAAAACGACCCTAGAATTTCACAAGGTAATCAAGTCTGTAAAGCCCCACATTTTTGTTTTACAAATCCTCATAAATACTTCTGAGTCTACTAAGTAGTATATAATGTTTTAGCATTTGTTCTATAACACAGTGAAATTAAAAAATTCAGGGAAAATCCTACAGCAGTCCTGTATGTCACTTTAATGTATATTGGTGGTTTAGACTGTAGGCCAAAGTGTCCTGGACTTAATTTTTCTCTTGCTGTTCCATACAGTAGGTGATATGTTGGCAGTTCTCTGTATTACTTCTTTTAATTTCTGTATCCTGGCATAGGGGTGTGCCAGCTTGTGAATAAGATGGAAGAAAACTCGGGCAAAATCAAGGCTTTCAACAGAAATGATGAACAATTCCTGGAAGCATTTGTCATCTTTTGTGGCCTGGGGATCCAGAATACACAGATGTATGAAGCTGTAGAAAGGGCCATGGCCAAACAGATGGTGACATTAGAGGTGAGCTCAAACTCTAGGTGGTCCTTAATTAGCCCAAACCAGATACTAATTTTCTCCAGACCCTGTCTGTTCTACACATAAGTGCAGCTACTCACATGGATACTGAACAGAAATTGTTCCTCCCCAGGAGAGCAGCATTTGGCCTGTTGAGTTGCACAGGAATTATTCTGCTTGTTTCCATGCCTGCCAGCAGACTATTTTATTTGGTATTGTATTTTAACTTTACTCGTGAGATTTAGTGGACAGCTGAATGCATCTTTTCCTCTACACGAGGCTACACACTGGCAACACAGCAGGTTTGTTCTGTTGCGTAGGAAGAGGAAATGGTTTGGGGGATTAGGGGCTTCCTTTTCTTGTCTGAGGTTTTCTGTGATGATTTTGGCTCAGTCCTCTAGTCAAACCGGTTTGTGGAGTAACAGCAGCATTATTGTAGGTTTTCAACAATTTCCTCAGACTCCATCAAACCATATCAAGATTAACGTCATCTGGTCTCAGCCTTTGATTTGGTTACTGTTAAGTTTAATAGCTCAAGAGGGCTTTAGTCTCAGAAGCTGAATTACTCAGAGGTGATAACTTGAAGCTGAAAGTGAAAGATTTGTAGACTTTGGATCTCCTAACATTCGTTATTTAAACAGTGTTTGCAGAATTCCTAAAATGGGTATTGTGTACCCCATAGCTTCCAAAAGAAATGTTACAACTCTCAAATAAACCTGTATTAAGTCATGTTAAATAAAAAGGTGGTAAAATCGTCAAAATAATTTCAGTGCTTTAAAAAAAGATAGCTGTTTGTTTATATAGCAAATTGGCAATTCTTTTTCCTACTGTAACACTTTATAGATAATACAGGAAGTTCAGATAGATTATAGGTTAGTATATAAGATTTTTTCTTTACAAAGTCTCTAGTTGCTAAAAAAAACCCGTAACATTTTCATGTCCTGTGTTCTCAACAGCTTAAAATATGAGCTTATTTTGTTAATTTAAAACAAACATATTGTCTTTCATACTTTTTTGCCAAGTTTCGGTTAGGGCAAAACTTTCTTTTATGTCTGAATAAACTCCTGTAAGGATTATTATGGCAACAATATCGGGCTCATAATTATAGCTGTTTCATGTATTATTTGTCTTGAAAGTGGGGCATGAAAACTTTCCAAAGAGAAAATCAGAGTTCTTTGCTCTTTTATAGAAATGATTTAGGTTTTCTTGGCCTAATTATCTTAAGAAGATTCTGTGCTGTGGGAAATTTGTGAAAGCTGCACGTATCTCCCCACATGCTTTCAGAGAACTCCCTTAAAACCACTGCGGGCCCTGCATGGACACTAGTTTTCATCACCAAATGCAATGCAGTGCAATGCACTGCAGCTGCAAGCTGAAAATTCTGCTTTAGGAAAAATACTGTTTTATCACATCACTCTTTTGTTTGTACTAAGGGCTGCTTTCCTCTTTCTGTAGGTTCTTTCATACCATGCTTCTGCTGCTGAGGAGGAAACGAGGGAGCTGCAGGTAACAGCGGTAATTGAATTTTTTACTATTACTTTGGAAATATTCCATTAAAAGAACAAAGGGCAGTCCTTTACAGAGATGTCATCCCTAAACATGCAGTAGCACATCTTCCAGAAATAAAAATTACAGTAAAGCTTAAACTGATCGGTTCCTCAATTGAATCAACACATCACATAAAAGGGAAATGTTACAATGCCTACAGTAAAAGATACAAGTCGGCCAGAGAGCTGCAATTACAGGAGAATCAGAAGCATACTGACTGCCTCTCTCATGACTTTAAATGATCGTATCAGCTGATGCAATGTTAGTATCAATACACAACGATTAAGTATTTTAGAAGCAAAACGTTGAGAATTCTTTCTGGAATGAAGTCTGAATGTTGTATATTTTATATCTTTTGTACCTTTCAAGCATCCCAAGCATGGGTGCAGCTTCATGGCCTTACACAGAAATTCCTTATTTAATTGTTAATGCAGCAATTTAAAAAAAATTTTAGTTACTTTTCTGTGCAGTGCCTTGTTCTGCTCATGTTTAATTCTGTGTTTAGAAGCCACTGCCTAAGGACCTACTACAGCTGTGATTTCAAGTGTAGTTCAAAGCGCAACCTGTACTTAGTGTCTCGAGTTGTCTCTGTTGGAGCAGACATTCTGGGGAAATAGCATCCCCGTGCTGTATGAAAAAAGGTGGGAGGATGGAGGGATAGAAAGTAGACATAGGGGACCACAAGCTGTGTAGTATGGGACTGGACTGGCTGAGCAAGCTGCCACAGAGCAAGGCACAAGACTAAGGATAGTTCTAGAACAGTTAGTGTCACACAGATTTTGAGCACAATGTTGGCCCATGACACGCACGACTTTCTAAGGTGTTACCAGAGCAGATAGCACAGGTCATCTCCAACAGGCAGTGTGGATGAGTGCTCCAGATTTGGCTACCCCTAGCCTACAGTCTTGCAGCACTATTTGAACTGGTTTTGCACCCTGAGATATACCACATACCCTCACGTCACATGCCAGGGTATGAAACATACCTTTTTTTTCATGCTCTGAAGCCACCACTCTGAATTTTAACAGAGCAATCAGATTAGTTAGGTAATTTGAGCTGATAAAACAGGCACTAAAAATAAGGGTATCTTAGAACTTCAGGGCACCACATGGAGCACAGAGCAAACCATGGACCAAGTGCTATGTAGTATGGACAAATCAGTTTGTGGCATTTCACCTCATTGCTAGAGAATGATCCCTGTCCTGTTTATTTTGTATAGCAGTTTAAATGTAACCACCTCACTCATAATTTGGGCTTTGTGTACAAGACAGCTAATTCAGTGACCACTCCTAAAATTACCCCTCTAAGCATTATTCTTTTATTTAGAAAGCTTAACTTCTTTCTTTGGTGCCACATTCCACCACTTTAATTACTCAAAACTTCCCTTATGACATACAGACTTTATAATTGTGTTGCCTTTTATGAAAGTAGTTCTCTTCTGCTTTTTTTCCAGTTTGTTTTAATTTGTAAATTTCAGTGACTTAATTTCTTCATAGTTGTCAGTCCTTTTTCTTCCCAAGAACAGAGAGCAGCTTAGATTTCAACATGAAATTTGTGATGTGTGTTGCTCAAAAGAAAACATTGATCCTTGATTTATTTTTTTTTCCCAGCTACTGACTGTAAAGTTATTTGAGATCTTCATATGCAAAGCATTATGGAAGTGCTATTACTATTAAGTAGAAGTTGCTCTGTGGAGTCTCTTTGTGTTAAAAGGTTTTACTACCTGCTACCATGTATATGGTCTCCAGTCTGCTATTCACCTAATTTAGTGGGTGATCTATATTTTTGCATCTGGTTCTGCAAGTGCCTTCATTGTCTTAGACTACCACTCAATCCCTAACTTACAATTAACCCAAGCTTCTATATGCCTTTACTTCATTGCTAGCTCACCTCATGGATGCCCATTATAACCAAACAGATAGCCAAAACTGAGTCAAGATTACAACTCTAACAGAAATTTAATTAAATTGAGAAGTTGCTTGTTTTATAATGTGTTTAAGAATAAAACCACAGCCAATATTTGGTCTTAATTCTTGCACACAGTTCTTACTTCAGAAGAGGATTGTTCTGTACATAGCTGGAGCCTGGCGTTCTGTCACATGTGTGCACTTACAGAGAATGTAAAATAGTAACATACAAACTGGCATATTCTTTGCTATGAAAAAAAATATGTTCTCAGCTTGAATAACAAACAAGACTCATTTTAAACACTTGTCTTCAATTTTAAACATTTTAAACAATTGTCTTCATCTTTAATGATTGTTGAGATTTTTACTGCTTAGCAACACAGAAATCCTCTTCTGATTATGGTTCTAGATAGGATAAGCTCTCCTGAGCATGCTGGTGCATGACGGTATATATACATCTTTTCAGAAGATCAAAGTGATTCAAGTAAAAATTAATCTTAAATATTCCCAAATCCTTAAATGAGGACTATCAGTGACAGATCCCATTCCATTCACCTTCTCTTCTCAGGAACTAGGAAGAGGAATGGGAAGAGGAATAGCTTGTGCTATCTGAACAGGAATAGGAATTTACTCTAGAGTACAAGCACCCTGATAGAAAAGACCTTGCCAAAAGGTACTTATTTTACAAACCAATATATGGACAACAGGATGTTAATTTTGAATTTGTTCTGCAGTTGACCAGAATGGTAGTGTCATATGGGAAGGCAATTTTAGGTCCCTCTATAAATTGATCTCAAACAGTTCTGTGCTTGAAAAATCAAAATTAATGTGAAAAGAAGAAAACTTTTTTTTTTTTCCTCCAAAATTTAGGAGTATTATCAAAATTCAAAACATACTATGTTTAAAGTAAGTTGAAAAATAGGAGTATAAACACGGGGAAAAAATGTTTTATTTTTCTCCCAGTTAACTGCAGATTGCAAATCTCTGAGGCCAAAGTCAAACTGTTAAGCTTCAGCTGGAGTCCAGTAGGCAGCTTGAAGAATGATGGCCAGAAAACATACTTTTTCCCTAACTGAGAGACAGAACCTGTATTAATGGCAGTTCCCACTGGTTTTAGGAGCAATGAAGACCTTAAATTCACAGAGGAATGAGGCAAAAGTTATCCTCAAGTATTTCAGTAGGCATTGCAGAACTCAATTTATTTTGGAATCCGCTCTTGACCCTTGAGGATAAAGCCACTTCTTTGCCCTTAAAAGTTTACATTCTTCTCTAAAAATTTAAAGCTCTTGGTTTTGTTTTTTTTTTTTTTTTCAGATGTACAGCTTTGTAGTACAAAAAAATTCTGTTATTTTGCAATTAAACACAATGTAAAATTTAGTATAAGAGCTTTCCCCTAGCTAGGACATATGCTGTCACAAAGTTACTCAGCAGAATCAATGGTATATCAAAACAGATACAGGACTTAAGCTGTATAGCATAATACTGAAACTGATACTTACACTTACTGCTTTGGAATCATTAAAGTTAATACTTCATTAGTGAGACAATTGGCAAGAGAAATTACTACAGTGTGTCGCAAGTGAAATTTGTGAGAACGGAATTATCAGCAAGTGATCTGTCTCATTTAAAACTGTAGCTTTCAAATACATTTAATTTGTGGACTCCTGAAAGGTTTAGATTGGAGAAGCAAAACTTTACAGGCAGAATTTTAACCTACTAAGAATAGCCTTCATTTTTTTCTTAATAACCCTAAGACACAATTGCAAACCTTTACCCTAATGGTTAATATTCCTGCACTGCAGTTTTTTTAGTTGAATCAATTAAAACCTTATTCCTAAAACAAGGAAAAGGGACAAATATTTGCTTTATAATATCTGTTAGCATGTACCCTTTGAGATACAGGATCATTGCTGCCTTTTATCCTTTGTACCTGTACTCACAATGTAGAACACAAATGTTGCAACTATCAACCTCTGACATTTTTCTTCTGAAACTATTTGCTGTTTCCGTGCATTGATAAATTTAGGTAGCAGTACGTGAAAAGAGATAGGGCCGAGTAAGTTTCAAGATGAAGTCATTCATGTTACAGACATTAGTATTCTTATTCCTAGTCTTAACCTAAATCCTGGATAAGTAGTGATGAAGGGAGTAGCTGCTACTCAAATTGAGAAAGCTCTCATTTCCTTAGCTTCTCTTCTTAAGTTTTCTGAGAAAGACAGGTGATTCTAGAAAGCAGTTCAGAGCAAGTGATTATTTTAAGTATTGATTCAGGGAAATATGTAAGGTGGCAGTTCCTTTTTTTATGCAAATGATTATTTCCTTGCAATCTAATTTAAACTGTCAGCAAGTTGTAGAGAACTTTTTCTCAGGTTTCCCAGAGCAGCTGTGGCTGCCCCCTCCCTGGCAGTGTTCCAGGCCGGGTTGGACGGGGCTTTGAGCAACCTGGGCTGGGGGAAGGTGTCTGCCTGTGGCAGAGGGGTTGGAACTGTCTGATCTTTAAGGTCCCTTCCAACCCAAACCATTCTGTGATTCTTTTTTCCAAAATTTTCTGTGAAATACTTGTGCTAGTATTTTACCCTCATTAAAAATAATTCCTGGGATACCTTTGTGTTGACTGTCTTCCCGTTAACACATCATAGAAAGACTTCAGTTTCAGAATCAGCATGTGGAGCAGCTAACTAATATAACCACCCTGCTTGAAGTGATAGATGGATGTTACTCCTAGTTTATTCCAGGCTTCAGGATGTACAACTTTGATGTAATGTGTGGAGATGTGATCCAGGTGCCTAAATTACAGTGATGCAGTAACTCTGTAAATTGGGCCCTCCATGGTGGCTAAAGCTAAGACATTGCAAATCGCAGCTTTTGTTCCACAACTGAGGGTCAGCTGATGAATGGCAATTTGCTTGGCTTCAGAATTTTATTTTAATTTTGCGCTCGTATTATTGTATCAAGCCAGCCAAAATAGATTAAAATTTTTTCTGAACATACCTTTTTGCAATTTTGCTTCTAAACAATCTGATAGCACAGAAAATAGATGCTTCATTAGGCAGTTGGACTAGATGATTATTGTAGGCCACTTCCAACTGGAATTAAACCTATTCTATTCTATATCTGCCTTGTGTAATAGGCTACAGTCAAATTTTTCACTTTCATCATAAATTCCACATACTACCGTATGTCATATTGCATCAGTCACCTCGTTTGAGCCTGGATACTGTCTGCAAAACTGTTTTTAGTTGCCACTCAGTTACCACGGTGGTCCTACATTTTCCTTAGCCTTCCTTTCGCTTCCCATCCCTCACTAGTTCCAACTCAAGCTGAGCTTTGGTTTTCCCATCTTCATCCCTGTGCACTTTGATACTGTCTCTAATATTGTCCCCAAGCAGCCCATCCCTACTTCCTCCTGTGTACTTCATTTTTTCATTTGAGCTCACTCAGGAATTCCCTGTTCATCTGTGCTTTTACTGTGCTCTCTTGACTTCCTGCATGCTGGAATGGGCTATTCTTGTGCTTGAGGCTTTCCTTGAAGGTAACACCTTGGCATATGAAACAAAAGTTATAAGCTTTATCTGTATTTTTTTTCAATTGTAATAGAAGACAAGTTTTTAAAACTATTTTCTGTACCTAACCAGGCAATGAAATGGGAGTCACTAATTAATTATTGACTACTAATTACTATTAATACAATGCCTATAGTAAGCAGTCATAATTAAAAAGTCACTGTTATGCAGAGAGGGGAATTATTTAGCGCATGTTCTTCTTTTCTTGACTATTACATGCTCTTTATAATAATATTCCTGAAGTGGAGAAATTGAGCAAGAGGTTGTAGTTTGTTCGGTGCTTATAGAAGCTGACCATAGCTCAGTAACTTGAAATTAAAATTGCTGATGAACTTTCAATTTGTACAGTGGGGGGCACATAGCTCTGCTGGTTTCAGTAAGTGAAAGAGGAGGTGCCTAATCCAGTTAAATAACACTTGAATAGCTATAGAGTACAGTTTTTTGTGTCTCAGCTGAAATGGAACTAGGTTTTGTGGCTGTCAAAGGCAGGCGATTAAGGAAGGGAAAGAAGTTATGAAGTCAGAACCCAGGCTTGAGGTGTTCTGTGGAGCCCCTACTATGTCCTTCTAGCCGCTTTCCTCATGAAATACCAGACTGCAGTTGTAGTTTTTCAAAATTATGTCATTAGAGTTCCTGAATAGTTGCATTATTTTCCACTGAACATACAGGCCTCGTAGTTCTTGCACATGCTCATAGGTGAAACACTGCGTGAATCCAAACTGAGGAACACAAAGTTACTGGTACAAGTGTGAGAATGCTGACATTTTTTTCCTATGTCAATACTATTTTTCATTATCTTTCATGACTTTCCAATTCTGATACACAGGAAAGATAACAGCAAACCTATATGGAACAGAGATAGGTAGACGTAGTTATGGGGAGAGTTCCCCATGCTGTAGAAATGTTTTTCCCTAGAATTACAGAGAGGAAGAAATGCACATAAGTTTATTACATTCACCATTCCAGTTTTACCTGATTTTCTTTCAAACCACACTCATATTGAGGTGAAACGACTGTCAAGAAGAAGCACTGAGAACTCCACCATTTATTTTACTGAAAAAATTGATACTAATTTTTGTTCTATAGTGTAAGACTTAGCATTTGCTTTGTTAGCAGTCTGTATTTTGAAGGGCAACCAATACCTATACTCTGAATTTTATAACTAGAAAAAGTAGAGTTGTAATACATGTAATATATGGAGATATTACTGATAATAAAAGTTATAAATTTTAAAAAGTATGGAGTTGGGGTTTTTGTCTACTTTATAATTTAAAATTTCACATTGAATGATTATGATTTTACTCAAATTACATCAAAAACATTGTCCAAAGGTCTTAAAGATTATTGATCACAGGTGAACCCTAATTTTTCAGGTTTCTAGCTGTGAGTGTGCTCTGCCTGTGGACATGTTCTGACTACCATAGCACTGAGTGTGGATTCTGATAGGAATTCTGTTCTTCTGGCATCTCTTTCCTCACCATTTTTAGAAAAATGTCAACAGTTACAGATTTTTATGTCTGCATGTCTATAAAAACAAACATACAACTCCACTGCCTTATCTTCTGAATCTCCCCATTTTATCCATGCTCTTGGTTACAATTTGCCTTAGGTGATTTAGGTAACAGACTGACCAGGTAATCCTTTCATTATTCTCTTAATCTCTGGAAGTGTGTTAAATCTAAGCAAATAAAGTAATGATAAACAAGAAAGGTAAAGATAAATGAGAGGAAGTCATCAGATTTCAGTATAATGTGCAGGTAAAATTTAGTATGTCACTACTTCTCTGTTGAAAAAGCAGATATTTATTTTATGCTTTCTCTTTCCTAGTGCTAAGTTGTGTTCTTTTCTTCTCTAGGCTGCTGTAGTTCCATCCGCACAATCTCTCAACCTGACCGACTTCAACTTCAGTGATTTTGAGCTATCAGATTTTGAAACAACACTGTGTACAATTCGAATGTTCACAGACCTCAACCTGGTGCAAAATTTCCAAATGAAACATGAGGTATGAATGCTGTCAAATGCTGCTTCACATAAAGAGACAACTCAGTTATTAGAAAATCAGAATAGTGAAACACACCTACAGTAAATATAATTGGAAATCTGTATTAAATAGCAGTTAGAAAACTAGGAAGCTGTGTAAAGTGGGCAGTACTGGGGTTTGTCCTCAGTTTGGTTCAACTGAATGATTAATAATTTGGTTAATGGACTGTAAAATGCTTTTGAAAACTTGGGGAGTGGAGGTAGAGGACTTGGTTAAAATGAGTTTGAAAATGTATAGCAGTATTTCAAAACCTGCAAGAGTAAATATATAAAGACTAATAAAGACAGTCAAATGCATAAATGAAAAATGGTTATCAAAAAGAATACCTAGTGGTAACAGAGAAAAACATGTTCCAGCTTCTAGTATCAGAAGCCATCTAAAAGTCAATAATGTGTGATAGTAGTAAAAAGGGGCAAATTTCATTCTTGACTGACAGAGTGGTATTTAAGGCCCATGGACTAATTACATTGTAGCTCATTTTGAAGAGACACACAAAGATACATATTAATTTTTAAAAATAACTATTTAGGAGATTGAGCAAAGTTTGAATGAATTAAGCTGGGTTTTTTTTCCGGAAAACAGAATATTGAGGAGGGACACAATAGCAACTTTTTCAATAAGTGTAAGACTGTTACAGAGAGGACAGTAATATTGTTCTCTATGTCCATATAAGGTAGTAAAAGTAATTATCTTAGTCTTTCCCTCACAAAAGATTAGATGAGAGATCGGGAGGAACTTAATGGTTACAGAGATAGCAAAGACTGAAACAGATTACTTACATGGGCTGTGGAAATTTCCCTGAAAGTTTTTAACCAATAGATCTAGTTGTAGATATGTGTCTGTTGGAGATGATCTAGACAGACAGGTATTCTTATTTTGCTTCTGGCCCTGGAGGTGGACTAGATAATCTCTTAGGGCTCTTCCAGTCAATACACACAAATTCTGTTTGTAAAAACCTTAATTTTTAAATACTTTATTTTTGCTTTATGTATTTTTCAGCAAAGATTCCTAAATTCAGTATCAAAACGCAAGATTAATTCGGAAGATTAAGTCGGAAGGCAAATTGGTACTTACTTTCTAGATCACCACTTTATAGACCAATTTAGATTAGTAGCCTTTCAGGGCCAAAAGGAGTACTGTATTACCTAGTCTGATCTCTTAAATATCTCAGTACTTAGTTTCACCTTTGCAGTAAGGCCAAGAACTTGTACTTTCTTAAGGGATACGTCCCAGCAGAAGAGTCAGAAGTAGGAGTCAGGTAGTTCGGTGATGGGTGGGTTTCTAGTTCCTAGTGGAGCAATTGTAATGGATTTGCAAAACCAAAATAACACCGTGACAATAGACACATAATCACACATTTCAGCAGAAGCAAGAGAACAGCTTTGAAGCTACATTTTCAACTTTCCGTACTAGAGCCAAAGAAAACGGGCAGTAGGCTAGCACTCCTGTAACACTGGAATGGCAGGGAATACTGCTGCTTTTGTCTGTGTGGAATCGTTTATGTGAGCGAATGACACTAGATACTGTCAGTACAACAGAACAATACTGTCTGTCAGTACAAAACCTTTCACTAGGAACACAAAAAATTTTCTTGAACAAACCAAGGCCTATATTATCAAGCCAGAATTTAGCATAGGCCAGCATGCTGTAGCCATTTAACCAAGGGACCTGTCCTAGTACACATCGAATTACTATCTGACCTTCATACCTTTCACTTTCTTAAAAGTAAAGTATAACCTACAACATGCAATACTGTTGTGTGAAACATCCAGGAAATACTTTATTCCTGCATAAAAAAATACTACCCAGCAATATAGGAATTGCTGTCTTTCTGTCATACTTTGCTTTCCAAAATCCAATTCTGCTTGCCTTTTGACAAGCTGATATGAGGGAAAAGCCACATGTTCGTTATCAAATCAGCTCCTAAGAGTACTCTGTAATTAAAAAAATAAATTTTCTCTATCAAATATGTCATTACAAACAAGGATTTCTTCCAGATAGCTCAACATAGCTCAGTTTCTGAATTAACAGCAGTGCCTCTGACACCAACATTTAGGCATTAGTAGTAAAAACCCAAACCCACAAGTATTACACTCAATGATGGGCTGAACTAGTGGCTGTAAGCATATTCTTATCTATGTTCACAGTTATAAGTATGTTGGTTTTGAACTTAATCGAGTTAAGAGGAATTTTTTTTCTTTAAGAGAGACAGTTTTCAAGCAGGACTAGAGAAAGATTTGTTTTCATAAAAAGAATACATTTCTAATACATTTACAGTTAACTATGTGATGCTGTTTCTTAAAGGTTCTCTGCAGATGGATTTTAAGTGTAAAGAAAAATTATCGGAAAAATGTTGCTTATCACAACTGGAGACATGCCTTTAATACAGCACAGTGCATGTTTGCTGCTTTAAAATCTGGTAAAATTCAGGTACATTTTGCTGTTTCTACATTAAGAATCTTCTGGCTAAACAAATTCTATAATGATGCATAATTCTGATTGTCATGTCAGTAAGATGTTCATCATTCCATGGTACTGCTAGTGAAATCAAAATATTTCTCCTGAAGACTTACGTCTTTAAGGGCTTGGTTTGTAAAATTATTATTGTGTTACGTACCTGGTTTCAGTTAAATCCTCTGGAAATGATCAGGTGGGTGTTCCCAATGGGAATATCTCAAATAAGGAACATACATGATTGTCCTTTTTTAAAGTTAATGCTTATGCTACAAACAAATCAAAAAGGTGGAGAAGAAAAGGAGTGATCCTGTTTCAGGATGTTTCCTTACAATATCCAAAAGGACATTTTTAAAGTTCAACACAAAGCTGAGTACAGCTTTAGACAAACAGTAGAATATTTTTTGAAAATTAAGTTATAAATGCTTATTTTAATGGTTTTGAACAATATTTAAAAAACCAACATAATCATTCTTTATTACAAATACTGAAGAGCTAGATGATCCTCAAAATAAGAAAAATACTGATCCAAGATTTTTCCAAAATATGTTTTTAGGTTCTATTTTTATATTCTTGAAGAAAACAAAATGTTTCTGTTCATTCTGAATTAACATGTTTCTTCAGTTTGATTACAGACAATTGTTATTAGTTGCTTTATACTATTTTACAGTAAGCACTTCTGAGAGAATAAATAAATCCTATTTGTAGACCAAAACCCAATACCAATAATGAAGAGGCATTCCCTTCCCCCACAATTTGTCTCACTACAAAAAAAAAAAAAAAAAAAAAAAAAAGACAAAAGGTGCTCGAAGAGACCAACAATAGGCAAGGGCTTTCCTGTTCCTTCTGTACTGAAATTGACATGGCAGTTTTGTTCTGTGTGCGGTCTAGCAATCTCTGATGATCCCGATAGCTTGCTTGCTATTTTTGGAATCCTGTTAGTCTCCACTGCAATTTCCATAAATTGTTTTATTCCTAATTACATTGGATTCATTCCACACTGATTTTTGTGTCCTAGATTTTGGAGTCAGAACAGCATTGAACATAAGTCTCTCAATTTTCTCTAGTTTGAGGGGAAAAGCAAGCATTGGGGCACACATCTTCCTAGAAGAAACATAAAATCAGCCGTTTCCAAACTGATTTGTCTTTTGCCTAGACTAAGGACAAGTTTCATTATGTAGAAAGCAGATGCACATCTACAGAAGTTGTAACTGCTTACAAAAAAATTTGGATTTGATAGATGAGAAGGTACAGCCCCCCAGTATCAGTGTTGTCACTAGTTGTTTTTCAGATTCCTGTCCTGACTGTTGTGCCTGCTATTCTTGTCCTGTTACAAAATGCTGTGTGAATTGCAGCTTTGTCCAGTTTCTGTTACTCACTGAACAGATGTAAATAAATCTTCTGTCCAGTTCTGTTGCATGGTATTAAAGATACAAAATAATCATGAAAGAGAAACTAACTTCTCCCCTAGTCCTTGCTGGAGCTCCAGAATAAACTCTTTAATAATGAGTCAGATACTGGTTAATTTTTTTTTTTCATGGATTTTAAACTTCTGTTAACTAATTTGCCCTGTGATCAATGAAAAGCATGACATTCTTCCCTTCTGATTATTCCAAGGACATTTGTATAATGAATTTTTATACCTACTTAAGGAATGTAGTCTAACTCCCTTGAGGTAATAGAGGAGCTGAGATAAAAGTCATGGAGCCAGAATTTTAAAAAATTCTTCATGCTCTCTTCGCTGCAGGTGACATTATGCAAGTCACTTCCTCTTCTTCTGTATCAGTTTTCTCATCAGTATATAGGGCTAGATGATGTTCCCTCTGAAAACTGCATTGAGACCTATGGAGAATGATTAGTATTGTGCACCACAGCTTCAGAGATTACTTTTATTCTCAGCATCGTATTTTATGTCCTTGCCCTCCTTGGGCCAGAACTGTATCTGCTATGTGGGTAATGACAAGATAGCAGATACAACACACACTGCAGAATAAACCACCATTACAAAGCTAACTCACGTCTTGTATTACTCTTTACATATAGAGCAAACTGACTGACTTAGAAACCCTGGCTTTGCTGATAGCAACTCTAAGCCATGACTTGGATCACAGGGGAGTGAACAACTCTTACATACAAAGGTAAGTAAGTCTGAGAGAAGTTAAGAACAAATGAATACTAAAATCACAGTAAATGAGTACAACCTAATTGATTTGATGATGTGAGGCTGTGCAAAGGAGCAGGTTTTTTCAAAGCAGTATGTACAAGAACAATCAGAAACATCCAAGAGTCCAAAGAAAAGATGCATAACCTCAGTGGGTCACTAACTGCAAGGGCAGATGAAGTGAACTCTGTATTCTTTGCAGGGGCAGCATCTTCCTGTTCCAAATGTCACATCCCCCATTTCCCATACAGTGGCAGCAAAAGGTCCCAGCTTCTAAGGGACAGTATGTAGGAAACGTGCAGCTCTTCAGACTGCTCCCTGCCCAACCAGCTGTTCCCTGTCTTGTCTGGGCCAGCACAGAGCCGAGATCTGCAGCCATCTGATACAAAGGTGGCTCCCTACCATTGTGAACTCTGATTGTTTTATTCATGATTTAGCCATGTTCTTCCAGAACTCTAAGTTGATTTGTGTAAGATACATATTTTAAATCACATTAAAAATGTATTCCTGTTTTGCATTGATTTGGCATTAACTGTACGCTTTTAACTTTGATCAGTTATGGAATTACACGCAAACCTTTACAACACAAGTAGTCAAAATGTTTTAAAATCTTGAAAAAATATTTTTACTACATGAAGTTTTTCACTTTGAAGTTATCAAAATGATGCATCTGAACTCTTCTAAAATTTTCACCATATTTTAATTTATAACTAAAAATACTTGGGGTTTTTAGAATTTATTAATAATTTCAGATCTGCCCAAAATATGTTTTTCAGTGAATTTAGTATTCGCTTAAAGAACAGTATATGATTCTTCAATTAAAATAAATAGGTTGACTTAAAACATTGTGTAATGTGATTACTGTGATATGGCAGTGTGTCCTGATCTGACCAGAGATGGGGAAAAGATACCCAGAAACGTATACTTGTATCTTTTTCTGGCAGAGTTGGAGAGTGGTTTTGAAGCTACCTTTGGAAGAAGTGGTCTGCTGTTCTCGCTGTGTGTAAAGTAAGATACTAGGGGAGGAGAAGTTTGTCTGAGGCAGAAAATACTGAAAGGCAGAAAATAAGTAAGCTGAAGCAGAATTCCTGCCCTTCAGATATATGTTCAGAATAACACTAAGACTGATGTGTAAGGCAAAAAAACCCCAAACCCTAAAACCCCACAAAACTGAAAGAGTAACTTTTTTCTAGTTCCTAATAGGGGATTCCAGCAGTAACTGTAGCCTTGCAGTGATTGGAACCAGTTAGCTATTTTTTGCTTTATTTATTTAAAAATAAATTTCCTGGAAGACATCTGGAGATGCGTCATCTCCTCTCAAAAATGTCCTGGGAAAGTGTCATAGACAGCAAAATCTAACATTTGCTGTAAAGCAGAGATGATTACAGCTTAGTAATTCTTTTTCAATAGAAAGTTCCATGAATTTTGTTTTTAAATTCCTCATTTAAATCCAAATGAAAAGTTATTTTTTTTCCAGGAATGGATTCCTTTTGTTTCTTCCTTGGAAGCAGGGAGAGTGGATACTTAGCATATGATTCTTTTCTTAAGCAGCAGGGTTTCAAAAATTAAAATGGTCCTGGTAGTAGAAATTACAGGAAATGAACTGCTTAAAGGTCTTTTGGTAGATATGCAGGGGTTTTCTTTTCTTTTTCTTCCAAACCCACATGTAAAGTCGGCAAGCACAGAGTATGAAAACTGTATAACCAAACCAGTGTGTTCAGAAAGCACTGGTGTCCTTTGGCCCGGAGTGGTGGTTTAACAGAAATGCTGTGTACTACGGAAGTAGGACCGAGTTTATTTCCAGCACTTGTGTCTTCCCAGACAGCCAGGGTCTGTAAGTACTGAGCAAGCTCTTTGGTGCAGTACTTGGGAAGATAACCTCAGATATTTCTCACATATTTCTCTCTTCAGTCCAAATGAACTTTAGGGGACACAGTATGCATCTCACTTAACTCAATGGGAATTTTACCCAGCATGTGTTGGCACCGTCCTACAATTTGTTTCCTTACAGAAACACGCAAGCATATTTGCTCTATACTGCTTTTGCAGTGGTCTCAGAGGAGGTGCTGGGCAGCCAGCCCATAATCCTCAGGGGCTTGCATCCTTTAATCTCCCTTTCTGTGTTTTTGTTTGTCTTTCCATCTTTCTCTCCACATTTTTGTGCTTCTTAAATCCCTGGAGTCTCCTTTTATGACTTTTACTTGAGTCTCTATGTGCACTCACTTACATCAGGACCAAATCCTGCAACCATGAATTCATGTGAATGATACTTAACCATACAAAAAGTCCCATGAAACTATATACTAAAAAAGAATTTCTTACATGATGAAATGTTTGTAGGTCAGATAATAATTAGAGTAATAGCTTCAAGATCAGCAGCAAAACAGACTTCCAAAAGAATCCCAGTTTTGTTGAAGAGATGACATAAGCAACGTGGGACCAGTGCTGAAAATGAAGATACGGTGTTATGTAATAAGGAACAGGGGGTAATTAGAAATCCTTAGAGAGAAGGAATTTCTGTATTTTGTCTAAAGCTACTCAAACAGTAAATTCTATTGTCTAGACTAAGATAGCTTTAATTTCTGCATTCACACAGATGAATGGTTTCATGCTGGTTTTCACTGTCTGTAGTACAGCCAACGCCTTGTTTCCCTTTTGGATTTTATCTTGGGCAAAGGGTCGGTAACAACATTGCAGTAGTTTGGTCATGAAGACAGTGGTGATGAATGAAGTACCAATACACTTACTAACACTGGGAAATGACTTGATCAACATTTTAGGCCCTACACCAGAGTCCGCTGAGGTCAGCAGGGATTTTTCCATTGCTTCCAGTGGGCTTCCGACTAGGTCTGTGTTAGTACTTACAAGCTTGGTAGTTGAGCTGACTACACCAGGCAGGCATTTAAAATGCTGCAAAACCCAAACCTGTCACTTAAATTTTGCTTGTGAATGAACCATTCTTGTTGCCTTTACTTTTCATACAAGAACTTTCACTCTTTATAAAACCTTGTATCACATTCTCACTCCTTGTGTGCAGCTGGTCTCTAGAGGTAACAGAAGGCAGAAAACTAGAGTTGTCAGTGCTCTGACAAACTAACAGCATTGTCTTTTTATTCGTACTCCCCCCGCATCCTTCCACGTGTATTCATTTTGTTTGACCGGTTACACAGAAGGGAGAAAAGAAGTGTTTAAGACAAGCGTGGGTGGATGGGGGTAAACAGATAATGAGAAGACGACATTAAAAGGGAAGTAATTTCTGGATTAGTAGTATGTTTATTTTGATTTCTCCATCTGATGGGTCTTTTTACTCCTCAGAAGCGAACATCCACTGGCTCAACTGTATTGCCACTCAATCATGGAGCATCATCATTTCGATCAATGCCTTATGATCCTGAATAGTCCAGTGAGTGCCAAATTTTTGTCTATGCTGAAGGAAACTATTCCCTGTTTTACTTTTTATTTTTGGCTTTTGGATAGATTCCCACCCTTATACATTCCTAAGTGATCTTTATTCCTTTTTGGGTAAAGAAAGCAAATGCAGCAGTTTTGAAATCACAGTTCCATTGCTGAGTGCCACCAGACCTTTCCAATTGTTGCCTGATAAGGGAAGCCTTACTAATATCCTTTTGAGTACCTGTTTCCTTGGACCAAAGGGAAAAAAAAAGGCTTTGTTGCCATTTTCATGACCCGTTATGAACCACCAAATAAACCCAAGTCCTTGCTCTCATTTCAGAAAACATTCCGGCCTACACATACACAAAGCAGTCCTGATGAGACCAAACCAAACACTGCTTATGTTGACATTCCAAAATGAAGCCAAACCTAAGTTAAATAAATATGCAAATAAACCTACATTCTTCTTGGTTTATATTATTAACTAATTCTAAGACGAGTTATTCAGCATGTGCAGTCATTTCAAAACAGTGTATTTTCACTGCTCATTTCATATCACAGGTACAGTACTTCCAGCATCGTTTGTATTATAATGATTCTTTCCTATTCAGGAAAATATGGAAAAAAAAGTGGAGGCAAGTTGCCATTTTACCAGCTCCATAGTGCTTTGGTTTAACTGTGGGCTGCTGAGCTTATATTTCTATGTAATAGATTATTTATGTCGCTTCATAAAAGGAAAATATTTTCATTTACATGAGGTGTATAGGCAGGTACTGGACTCTATTATAGTTCTCTGCTTCAGGGAGTGAGGGGAAGAGGAAAGAGAAATGCTACGATAGAGCTAGTGGCAAATTTAATTTTGATGAATGAAATGGACTTAAAGGCTTTGCTGTTGCTCTGCTTGCAGTTTCATTTTGTAACAGTTGATTATGATGCTCGTGCTGTGCGGCTTTCTGACATTACTCAAGAAGACTGGAATTTTTATTTTTAAATTGGAGAATCTGCAAAAGGAAGCAGGGTAGAAGAATGACATCAGATATCAGCAAGCAACGCATAATGATTTAGTATCTAAGAGACATTTTAGCAAACTGGTGTGCTGTTGCCCATTTTACTGATAACACTGTTTTTGTTTTTTTGTAAAGGGAAATCAGATTCTCAGCAGCCTTTCCATTGAAGAATACAAGGCCACGCTGAAAATGATAAAACAAGCCATTCTTGCCACAGACCTAGCACTATACATAAAGTAAGTGAGAGGCAAGTTTGGCTGCATAGTCATTGTTGACTGTTTCGATTGTGACAGCATGCTGCAAAATCTTTTGTTTTAACTTCTTTTAAAGGAGGAGAGGAGAATTTTTTGAACTTTTAAGGAAGAAGCAATTTAATTTGGAAGATCCTATGCAGAAGGAGCTATTTTTGTAAGTAAAAGCAAAATGATTAAGAAGTCAGTTAATATTATTAGGTACCCAATTTTCCATGCCATGTTGCTGTGAATTTCATTAAAACCAGCAGATCTGTGTGCTCTGGGCCTGTACAAACTGGCACTGGCACATATGTCCCTGAATGACTCCCTGGGTCTGAATTACTAAGTCTGCAACTTGTATAATAAACTTTGTTAAGGAGCACATGGAGTTACGTGAGCATTTCTGCTCTTTCTAAAGAATGTAAGGTTCCTTTCTAGGTACCATGTTCTTTTGCTGTTGATACTTCATACTTAAATATTGAATTGCTGAAATCAATAACAAGATTCAGGACAAGCAGTTTGTTTTGAAGCTGATTCCTTACTGGCAGTGAAGAGAAAAGATGATTGAGTATAGAGACACATATTGTAGTGCACAGCTACAGAAAAGCAGGATTACATAAGGCTGTCTCAGAAAGGAAGGATGCCGTATTTCAAATTCAGTGCCTTTAAAAACCAGTCTAATTTAGTCATGTTCTATGTTGATTCCTATTTCAGTCCTTGGCCCTCATACTGTCAATAATGATGTCAGTCAGTGCTAATGTCAGAAATAAAAAAATGTGCTGCGCAGTAGCAAAGAGAATGAAACAGGTCATTTGATGTGAATCTACCAAATGAGCCAGTCCAGATTTGCTCATTTCTGTGTGCTCATTTTCACACAGGTGAAAGTCTACCGCACCACTGACCCTTGGAAACCTTTATAACTTTGCTTTAATTTCACATCTTTTTCTGACTTTGATGTTCCTTGGAATTTAAGATTCTATTTTACTGATCACTTGACTTGGTGGCCACATACATTTCACAGTACAGTAATTCATGTGTTTCTTTCTGTTTCTTCTACAGAGCAATGCTGATGACTGCTTGTGATTTATCAGCCATAACCAAACCATGGCCAGTTCAGCAACGGGTATATGCTTAATTTTAAGATTTGCTAAGTACACACCCCACGTAACTGCTCTGCTTCCTCCATCTAGTCCTTATTGCAAAGACAGTGGTGGAATGCAGAGTCGTAGGAAGCAGTCCTTCAAAGTGCTGTATGTGGATTGAAGACTTTCTCAGGTCTTTGTAGCGATGTCTGCACATTTAGCTATGTCACCATGTTAGCAGTAATCTGAAGGTAAATCAGGAATCTTTGTTCTTTACAACATTTCTGTGTTACTACAAGGCAGTCCATTGATACAACACACTAGTATCAACCGACCTTTTTCTATGTGTTCATCATTCTAACTGCTATCAGTGGTAAAATGCCTATGTGCCATTTTACTGACTTTGCTTTGTCAGAGTAAATATCGGCACATGCAGGTGTTTAGTTTGTGCACAGATGTGTGCATGAAGAATTCTAAAAGATAACTGTTAAGCTGGAGAGTCTCATTATGGAGTGTCTCAATCCAGTAAAGAGAGATAGGAAACACAGGAAAGAGTTTTGATTGTAGGTAGCAAACAAAGTTTTAGAGCTCTCAATATGTGAAATCTCTTACAGATTGCTGAGCTTGTAGCTACCGAGTTCTTTGATCAAGGAGATAAAGAGCGGAAGGAACTCAACATAGAACCAACAGTAAGTGGTGGTAATCATGCAGAATCACCTCTTTCAAAATGGCTTCTACAAACAGCACTTCACATTCCTTTTAAAAGCCACAATTTCTTGCACTGACCAGAATATAGGACCAAGTCTCCTTCCCTGTCTTTCTAGTAGTCAGTTTTCTTCTTCAGTTCCCAAACACCAACAGTGTGTCATTATCTCTGAGCCAAAAGAACGCTATTCCATCTAAATCAGTATTACTAAATTGTCTAGGAAATACATTCTTAAGCTGGTACCTATTTGCAACCTATCCAAACCCAGAAAGCTTGAATATTTGTCTAGCTGTTTGGGCTCTGTCAGTCCAAAGACAGTCTCCTAAAGCAAGTCATGCAGTCAGATTAACACACGTACTGATTACATTGCTGTGCTAAACTTGCTGTGCTTTTTAAGGTGCTGCTTTTTAATTCCAGCCTGTTTCTTTGTTTTTGGTTGAGTTTTTTACTTAATGTATCTAAACACAGAGCTTGCTTACTTCTTATCTGCAGGATCTAATGAACAGAGAGAAGAAAAATAAAATTCCCAGCATGCAGGTTGGATTCATAGATGCTGTTTGCTTGCAGCTGTATGAGGTATGTGCCTAAAAAAAGAATTGCAAATATCTAAAACCTGAACGGCTCAGTGTAGCTTCTAATACATGCAGATTTAAAATTAGAATAAAAATTAAATAAAAAACTCTAGTCCCTTAGTTTAAAAAAAATATTTTGGTTATAGATTACATATGGTTCATTATTCAGTTGAAGAAATTATTATTTTAGTATTTATCATTCATATTTTTTCTGATTAATGTATTTTGTTATAATTTTTTAAAACCTAGTGGTAACTGCTGGGCTCTGTGCACTTGGTGTTAGATCCCTGGGTTATGTTCCAGATTCTATCAGCTGCTGTGATCATCAGAAAAAGTCACAAAACTAATGCTTTGCTATCTAGGAAAAGAACAGTATCCATGTAGTGCATTGATAAAAGGTGTCGTTTAAGAGTTTTAAAGAATTCGGAATCCTTCATGCAAAATGTATAGGAAATTTACCCGAATTTTAACATTTCCCGTCCCGTTTTTTTCTTGCTCCTTCATCACACACAAAAGCAGTGCACAAGCGAAATCATTGAAATTTTTTTCATCCTGGTCACAAACTGTGTAAGCAGATACGTGGTCAGATATAGCATGAAACAAAACATAATGATTTCTGATTTTTTTAAACCAGAAAAGCACTAGAGTGAAAGCTTGTTCACTAGGACCGTAGCAAGTATTTTACAGGAACTGAGGTGAGAAAAAAGAAAGGTGAGGAACAGATAGCCTCACTGTTAAGAAATTTCCAGTGGAAGGAACAAGGTGATTACTCATATTTTTCCCTCTTACACAGTAAAATCTTCTAAAAAGAATCCACATCCACCAGTTGGAAGGAAACAAGGATAGAGGAAGCAGAGGGAGCTACTAGCTCCTGCCCCTGAAATTCATGTTTCTGTGCTGTAGAAACTGTCAGGAGAATAAGGCAGCCTTTGCTGGGAAGCCTCAGAAAACTGTCCCCAGTAGGAGGTAGGCCACTGAAAGAAGACTGAGCGTCTGTGGGAAGGTACAGACAAAAAAGGTTTTGAACAGAACACCTGAGCGGGTTTGAATGCCCACAGCTCCAGAGCCTGAAGTTCTATACTTTTTCTTGTTAGGGAAGGGCTTTACCTTTCAATTTATGAAAAGACCAAAAAGATGTCATTTACTTCGAAATGCATACTGCAGCTTACATGAACAGTTAGCAAGTGATACTAGTCCAAACTGTAGCCAGCTCCTGTACAGTTTGTGCAAGGAAATGAGGTCCGTGAGTAATTTCTAGCTACTGTGCCCCTGCTTTGTAACAGCGGCTTTGTTATGCCATAGTGAATACAGAGCCATTCCTGGTTAGCAGCCAAAAGCACCTACAAAGGTTTGGAGTCTTCTCCCTTCTCTTTAATTGGAGAAGAAGGAAGAAGATGCTACATCCACAGGAGGGGTTCTAAGCAGCATCTTTTTGCTCAGAACATGTTGCCTCTTCCAGTTTCCAGTGTATCACTCTTACTTGTCATCTTGTCTCAAAGTCTGACTTAAACTGGAAGAGCATGTAGCAGGCTGACAGCATCTTGGACTTTGTACAGACCCAGAGTAAGCCAGCATGTGTCCTAACCTGACAGATAAGGGAGAGTGACTTACCTGCAGGGGCAGAGAGCACTCAAGAGGAGGAGGAACCTATGAGGAAGAGACAAAACCCATAACGATACTGGTAAATCCAAGGTTTGAGCTGATACAGTGTTTGTTTACTTTGACTGGAGTACAAGTAGGGGATATTACCTGCTTACAGAAATTTTTTTCTTCAGTGAGTAATAAATGGTAAAACATATAAACTACTTCAGTGTTAACTCTGAAAATGAACAAGCACACAGTTCACTCTCCAACAGTCTAATGCTATAAAAGCAAACAATAATCAGGGTTGTAATGACAGCCTTTCCACTGTCTTCTTAGCTTTCATCCAGTCAGTAGGAATTTGACACACAGTGCGAACAGATGAGTTCCCAACACAGCGCTGCAAGTATGTGACTTACCATGTTACTCAGAGTAGGTCAAATCCAAATGAACTGAAGTTTTGTGGCTTGTGTTAGCTAGGTAACCAGTGCAGTTAAACTGAATGATCTACAAGTCTTCCCCTTAAGTTCAGAAATGTAATTTATCTATTGGGTGCCAACTGTCTTGAATTTAAATATTTCTGGGACAACTCCTCTGAATCCATTAATACACCGTCAGTGAATACGGTCTCATTGACTGTACCTGCTCTGTGTCTGATTACCATTCCACAGCCATCCTTATGACCAACCTTGCTAGACATTCAAAAGACTGGCCTGCAAACAAAGTCCATGCATAGTACTTCACTAGGAATACTGGACAGGTCACTGATGCATAATACAACAAACATTGTGGTTCCTTCTGCACCTATGTATGAAGTGCTGTATGGACACTGCCACTCAGTCTAGTCAGCCCTAGTGCCAGGTATTGATAATTGTGTTCATGTTTGATGTGCAGCAGGAAGCCGCCTTTGTAGTTCAAAATAAAAGTTCAGTTTTAATTAGAGATAGACCTTGTATTTCAATCGTTCTGTTCTCTCTCATGGTCATCTTTAAGAACCCTTATTTTGTTGTTAAACATAATCTGTTTTACATGTTCTTAATTTATTTCAGGCCCTAACACATGTGTCGGAGGCCTGCTACCCTTTACTGGACGGCTGTAGAAAAAACAGGCAGAAATGGCAAGCCTTAGCTGAACAACAAGAGAAGAATCTGATTAATGGAGAAAGCAATCAAGCCAAACGGAACTGAGATGCTGATTTAACAACCACAAGCTTAAATTCACATAGAAAACATAGTAATAGGGGAGTACTGCATTTTGCTATACACTGTATGAATTTGGCTTATGTTTTGCCACTGCTGTATTATTTTCCACATTTCAAGATATAGCATGACCATGTATATGCCAAGGTTATATAAAGATAGTATGTTTCTTTTATTACATCTGATTGAGATGGAAAAAGATCTGCAAGGGTAGTTTTTCTTACCCTACTCCACAGAAAGGTACGAGTGCAGTTACTCAGCTGTCCCCAAGAGCCTATTACTTTATAGATGTATATAGTTGTTTAGTGATCATGTTGTGGCCAGTATCTTAAAGACTACTGCATTTTGCACCTTTTTTCCTCTTCCAGTCTTGCTGTGTTATGTTATAAAAGTAATGAGCAGTCTTGCCTGTTCTCTTCCCAGAGGTTCAGAGGAAGGGTTGGGACTAACTCTGAGGAGTCTAATCCACCACTGCTGTGCTAACCTCTTCCAGGAGACAGAACTGGGCTCCAAAAGTGGAAGAGCTCCAGAATCTGTGCACCCAGTAGTTTTTTTCATACTAGAGGAATGCCTTAGCAAATGTCTTATATTTGGAGAAATTTTTAAAAACCCTGTGACTTACTAGGCAATGGGGGTCTTAGGAGTTTTGTGGTAGAAGTGTCGTAATTATCCGTGAATAATGTAAACTGCTTGAAGACTGAAGAAATGTCACAACATAACTGACAGGCTTCCATGGAGGAATGGCTCCCATCGAAAGCTGCAAGAAGCACACAGAGAAATGGAAACTAAACAGGATCATTTTTATATACTGGTTTTAACTTCATTTGGAAGTTGAATTTAACATCATCATAACCAACAGACTGAATCATGGGCAAGAAGAGTCAAAGATAATGTGACTGCAAGAGCAAGAGATGAAAATCTGAATCAGAATGATGCAGGAATGGCACACTTCTGGTGACTATCAAGGACTGACTCTTTAGGCCAGTGCTATGATGAAATGGCTATGACCACTCTGAAGAAAGTTTTTTTTTTAAAAAAACTTTAAAGTTTAAGATCTTTTAAAAACAATTTTTGTCATTAGTTAATGTTAACAATGATTAATCACAATGTCTTAAAGAAGTAAGAAAAAGGAACACTGAACACGGAAAGCAAAAATAGCTCAGAATGCTACAGGGATTTGCCATTTGTGTATGGGGTATTAATGTTCAGAAAATAAATCAGTTAACTTGCACTAGTTAAAAAATAACACTGATATTTAATTTAAATGATGACTAATAAAAATTGTTTTTAATTGGGAACCAATTCAAGAAAATACACACGTTAGACAAACCCCAAAAGGCTAATACAAAGAGAGCACTATTCTTTGGGTAGACAGGACTTGGAGACTAATGTCAGCAGTCTAAGATTGGTTAGCAGTAGGTATAATTTTGGCTGCACAGAGACACAGAAAATGCTACTCTTTTTTTTTCTTTTTTTTTTTTTTTTAAATCTGTAGTATAAATTTTCAGTTAAAATAGCAATAGTATTAGGCAAAAGTAATACATTTGGTCTTATACTTCAAAGTGTGGAAGTTGATTTCTATCAGAGTAATCCAGAAAATTCTAGTTGGAAACTGCAATAAATTCTTCCCAAGAGATTATCAATCCTCCCGTGTAAGATCTGGTCAGAAAGACAATGAAAACAACCTTTTTCTTATCAGTCTCTGCATTTAGATAAACTATACCAGAATCTAACAAAAGATGAAGCAAATGTTTCAAAATGGTTGATGATACCGAGTTCCATAGTAATTTTTTTTTAAACGTATAAGGCATTCCGATAGTCTGCAGCATTTCTGCCAACCTAAATTATTTGACACTGATTTAATCCAATCTCAAACTTTTCTCATGACTAACAACAATATATTATTGCAGCTGAATTTGAAAACATTTTTCTAAAAGTTTTTTTCCCGATTTTTTTTTCCCCCTTTTTTTTTTTTTTTAAGTATGGAATTCAACAATAATTAAGAATTTCAGGGCTACTGTTATGCAGTGATACATATGTGTATTTGTACACATACACAGTACAATTATGTATGTAGTATGTCAAAGCTATGCAGAAAAATGACAGCAGCCTGCCCCCCCCCCCCCCCCCCCA